AAACTGTTAAGTCTAATAGGATTACACTTTTATACGTGGATCACTCCATTTTCTTCAACAAACAAAAAAGACAAAGCCCTTGTAACGTAGATGAAAATTAAAATTTGACAGCCCAGCAGTCATGTTCCTATAACATATAAAACCATAACGAGAAGGGAAGAAACATCAAAATCTATAGGTACAATGCAACTAAAAGTAAAATATCTATGTTGCAATTGTAAACTTTTTCTACAAAGGCCAGTGCAAGGAGCTAAAATAAACAATAGGATAAGGGAGGGCAGTCTGGAAGATTAGAAGAGATAGAGTTAATGGAATTATTGGAAAATTTAAATAATGCTTTAATGTATTGGAACTTCTCCTGAAACTTTCTTCCAGTGGACTTTTCTATCAAGAATTGTATGTTTCACAAAATTCTCATTTTTTTTATTCAGAAAAGGATTCTCTGGAACCCTAGTTGTACTAGATCCTCAGAAAAACAGGAGTAATACTTTTTTCAGTAGGGCTTACTTTTGAGAAAAAAGAAATAAGATTGTACCGTTGTGCATTCATCGTCCATCCATACCGAAAATACAGAAAAAAAATAAAACTTATGATTTTAATGTTGCCCTCTCGTCCAATTTACTTGGATTTCAGTATAAATCACTGTGGCTTTGAACTGTCACACCCTGACTAAGTTATAGCCTTTTTCCCCTTTTACTCCTTGTTCCTTTCCCTACCCCCACTATAGTCAAAATAAAAAAGTGATGTCCAATATAAGAAAACATCTCTAAAATGCAATAGTGCCATCACCCAAAATCGTAAAGAGTACCTCTGCTTACTGAAAACTGTGAGCATACATATAACAAGCAAAGCTACAAAACCAATATTCTACTTACCTACATTTCCTCAACCAGAATGCTTTACCAGATTTTGAACAGAAACTTGACTGATTTCAATTTCTGTAAATGTTAGGCAGCAATTTCTAGTGAAGACTCTGTAGAAAAAAACCCTTAGGGTACATTCTAATTTTAGAAGAAAAGAGTTGAAAATAATAGTTAATGCAAGCAAGTAAATACACAATGCTTTCCTTACTTTTCTCTGTAATGAACTTGTAATTAAAAATAGTGAATAAAATAAAATTTATTTTTATTTCCAATTTCCCACTATCAACATTTTCATTACTGTTGTCCTATAAAGAATATGGAATTCATGGTTCTGAGGGTTGTTTGTTTGGGGGGGGGGGGTTAGGGCTGCTTTTTCTCTGTGCCAAGTAAAGAAACATTATTTTTATGCATTGTTAATGTCTTCATAGATGTTATTTCAAACATTGTGCAAAGCCTTAAACTTGTTCGCTAATTCAGAGCATTTAGAAGAGTTCTTTCTGGTTCTCGCTACATTCACATTTCATTGTTTAGAATAGCATCCTTCATGTTATTATCTTTAGGCAATTCCTCCAAATGGTCTGTCTTTATCAATCACTTTAAATGTTTCACAGTATGGCTGTTGTATTCACATCTCTAGTATGCCCCCCCCCAACTAAAATTTCATGTATTGCTGGTTGCATTCAGACACAAATAGGAGAATAATAAGGTATTTCAGAGAATTTGGCAAAGCAATCTGCTGGAGATCTTATTTAATTCATATTATGCTACCCTGACAATCATTTTTGACAGGCAATGGTAATTCTGAAATTCAAGAAATTATCCCAATCAAGCAATGGAAACCTAGTATAAACCAGTCTAGGAGTAATTTTGGAATTCAGTCTTTGAAAACTGTTAGGAAACAAATCCTTGAATCCCTCGTTCTGCTCAACAATGCTCAGAATGATGCCTATCATTTCCAGTTTAGGATAAGTGGAAAATTGCTTGCTTCAGGATCAGTATAAACCAAATAATAGTCACTCTATGCTGATTGGTGAATTTGGATTGATCACTATCTTTCAGGCAAATTCACCTGATAGCATTTTGCAGGGCTTTTGCACAGATTCAGTGAGATGCCATCATACACATGCATAGGCATCCATTCAATGGTGGGATTCAAATATGTGAACAACGGGTTCTCTGTGTGGATGCTGCTTTCGGAAGTCCATTCTGGGCTTGGGCAACAAAAAATTAGCTACTGGTTCTGCCACCACTGCATCCATTCCTAACAACAAGATACCAAAACAGCAAAACACATCACACTATCAGTATACAAGCTCTTCCCTTTAGTACTTGTATACACAATTACATAAGAAGTAGAGTTTTTGTCATTTTACACATTTGATTACTTGGCCCTCCCATGGATGCATATGCATACATAATTAAACTCTTGGAGAAAATATCAGGTTCAAATAATATCTGTAAACAAAACATCAGAATTCAAAGTAACTTCATTTCCTGCTGTTTTCAGAAACTTTTTGAACCCTGCACTACTAAAGCTATTCTAAAAAAAAAATAAAAATCTTCAAAAGATGCCTGGAACATACTCTGTCATAGATATCTTTTTTCTTCTAACATCTGACTTATGTTACCTTGAAAAGATCATTCACTATCTAATCTATAGCTTACACTATAGCTTTAGGTGCCTCCTAAAAGCACATTCAGCATCGTGGTATAGGAATAATACAAAACAACTTGCCCCCCCCTTTTTTTTATATTGCCCAGAGATGTTGTCACATTGTCCCCAAAACCTGCCAGGCAGATTAAAATTCTTAACATAATGCAAAAAGGAGTCAAACTACTCAATGTAAAATTGTTAGATAATTACTAACTGCATATTATATGCTAAATTACTACATTAAATCTCTGGCATGTGCCACCTCCTACTCAAAAGGCTGGAGCAGGGAGAAGATTGAGGGGGAGGGCATCTGTTCTCCAGCTTTCTTACTTACATCTCCAAAACAGGATGAGACATTTTGCTAAAAACAATTAGGCTAAAATAAGGACGAGCAGTTTCCCTTCTGAGAGCACATTTTGCTTGCATTCTGTTCCCAACATTTTCTTTTCTCAGTTATCCTCTCTGAACTTGATGTAAAATATTACATGGATATTCTTTTCTAAATATTACTAATTTTACAGTTCTACTCAATGTTCAATGCTGTTTGATTTCAGCAGTTAATACTGGCTGGCAGAATTTCATTTGTTAACATTATTAAACAGTCAATTAACTATAGGAGGTTTTTGGCAATTGTTGGCACAGAAAGGTATAGCATTTGTCATCAACTTTAAGATGATAAATTGGTGGTGACTAGTTATCATATGTATTATTATTTCATAGAGGATAATAAGGGGTAAAATTTTGAAATCCCGCAACTAGTCTCAGTCAAAACTATGAATGTTTCTAAAGTACTGAAATTCTACACTCTGGGGGAAAATTTTCACATTCCAGAATTTAAATTAGATGTTAGTTTTGTGAGCATCTAAAACCCAGCATTAATCATAATGCATTAGCTTCAAGCAAATTATCAAAGTTGGATGATGTAGGAAATTTTTACAAAGCTACTGTCACCTTGTACAGCTGAACTTTGACAACTAGTTGAAAGGGAGAATACCAGGAGATCCAAATATTATAGTTTATACTGTGAAACATTCCCAGAAAAAAAAACGACAATTACCAAGACATTGTCGTAAGATGCTATTTTCTCCTACAGGAGCTTTCTTCAAAAATGAAAAATGTATTCCAGAGGGTATCAGTTAACAGCTATCATTCTGTTGAAAAATGAAAAATTACATCCTATTCTTATTCAAAATAATGGATGAATCTGATCAATCATCTACATATTACTTTTTAAAAATAATGGAAGTTAATCCACTTGAGTTTTTCCATGCAGGGGTCCCCAACCCCTGGTCTTTGGACCAGCACCAGGCCACAGAATGCCAGAAATTGGGCCACACAAACAAGTGAAGCCCCATCCGTGGGATGCAGGCAGCATGCAAAACCAGCCCTCCCCCCCAGTCCAAGGAAAAAGTCTCTCCAAGGACATAGTCCCTAGTGCCCAAAATGTTGAAGGCCGCTGTTCTAATACAGTGAAACTTTATTTTATTTTCAGTTTAGAATTTCAATAACTTTCTTGTCCAAACCATATTTTGCTAACCTGATTGGACTACAGCTCCAACTTTCTTCTCATTGTAGCTGGAAAGTCTAGACATCATATTGCAAAACATTTGTCCAAACCACACATTTCTGCTTTGTTTTGTTCAAGTGATTTATAAAGAAACTTATCTTCTCACTATGATCTGTCCAGACCTCAGTGTTGTTTTATTAGTAAAAAAAAGTTATTTGCATAACTCAAAATTTTGCAATGCTTTCACCAGGCTCATATTGTTCATATCATTTATTCTGGATTAAGAACTGCCTACAGAAGCAAGTATGTTTAAAAACACTTTTTTAATCATGCTGGAACACCAAATCTATCTATTTTGGATAGACAGACAGCTCCTGCAGTTTATCAGAATCTGGTACAAAAAAGCCATGGCACCGATCCAAATGTAATACCAGATGAATACCTACATAATTTGTGTAATGCCCAGGTTTTAATCAATGTCATTTGCAAACTAACATTTTTTCATCTTACAGTCTCTTTCAACACATTGAACTATGCAGGCTTTCATTAGATGCAGTGATTGGGAAAAATCCCAAGCTAGTAGCATATTTGTAAATTAGATAATCCCATTATTGTACTGGTTTAACAATGCATTACTCGTTTGATCCTTTCCATTACCCAGAAATATTTCACCAGTGTTGATATGTACCGTATAAATAACATAAAATGCATTATTTATATCCTCATGTCATTGGTCCTGTGAAATTGTTTCTGTATTGAATACACTTTGTACTACCTATGGCTACTGCTATGTTTGATTATATACCCTGTTCATCCTATCCAAATGTATGCAGATAGGCACACAGACACACACAGACATTGCCTATCATGAATAGATGTTTCTACTGTATCCCGCAGATTAAAGGTTTGTTTGGATGGGTGATTGATTGGCAGGTTGAAGCTTTGAAAAAGACTTATTTAGGAGGAGAAATGATTATAAAATTTTACTTCACAATCCTTTTTTTCCAGATAACAGATATTCATAATTAAAAGACTCATGGAATTCATGTAAAGTTAGCCGCTTAGCCAAACAGCATTACGCAAAGAATAATACAAGAAAATAAAGATGTGGGATTCACTCTTCCAATGATTGTCATTGAACATTAGTAAACATTCACAGTATGAAGTCTGTCATAAATTCTCCAGCATATAAAGTAGTGCAAAAAAAAGCAATCCAGTCACTTTTTCACTGCATTCAGAACATGTTAAATGATTTTCTTACTTGATTCATCCACATATTACTTAACAATTGCTTCAAGGTCTCAAAAGACTGTTATAAAAATAAACCATTTCTGGGCCTAGATAGCATCTTCAACAATTGAATATCCATTTTTAAAAAAATCAATCCATCTTTAAGCAAATTAAGGTTAAATTTGGACTTTTCATAGAATAAATCTCCCACAAAATTCTTAGCATTTTAAAAATCAAGACTATGGAATCCACTGGATTATGGTAGCTGTTTTTAAAGCATTAACAAATGAATACATGGCTACTGAATGTCATTGTTTCTTACATAGTAAATACCTTGAAATGCTAACTTTTACCAGTGGGCAGCAAGTGAGGCAGATAAACACAACCTCCTTAAAAATAAAATTGTCTCCCTCATGTGCAAAACACCTGCATTCTAGTAAAAATATAATCTTTGAAACAATTCATGTAAATCCCCCTTCACAAGGTATATCATTTACTTGATACATAACACAAGTTTACTAATGCTTTGTAATTCATGTTTAACCAGCAAGCGGCATATTCCTATCTGCTTGTTAAAACACCTGTTTGCATATTTCATTTTTTTAACCATTGCACATTTTGATGCATAAATTTGTTGGAAACACACAAAGCTAAACATCTGTTTCCACAGATTTTGCATTTGTACAGTTCTGCTTTGTGGTATCTTTCCCATTTCCTGTAACCTGGCCCTTTTTCTCCTTTATACAAAAAGATTCCTTAACCCCTTCCTCCATCTCTAGATACTCTGATTTGACCTCGGTGGAAGAAGATGATGAACTTCGGAATTTCTTCAGTATTGTTGGGAGATAAGGGCAACTGACTGCATTTTGTGTCAACTGGGTCTGTTCTTCATTATCAGTTTCTCTGTGGTAAAAATAGTTAAAGTTGGAGACAATCACTGGCACTGGTAATGCAATGGTCAGCACACCTGCAATGGCACACAGGGACCCAACAATCTTCCCACCTACAGTTATGGGTTTCATGTCCCCATAACCAACCGTAGTCATGGTCACCACAGCCCACCAGAAGGCATCTGGGATGCTCTGGAAATGGGTGGTAGACTCATCTGCTTCTGCAAAATAAACAGCACTGGAAAACAAAATTACTCCAATGAAAAGGAAGAAGATCAAGAGCCCCAGTTCCCTCATGCTGGCCCTGAGAGTGTGACCCAAGATCTGCAAACCCTTGGAGTGTCTGGAAAGCTTGAAGATGCGGAACACCCTCACAAGACGGATGATTCTTAGGATGGCAAAAGACATGGCCTGTTGACCATTACTGCCCTGTTGTTGGGCCAAATCTGTACCCAGGGTGATGAAGTAAGGCAAAATCGAAACAATGTCTATGATGTTCATAATGTTCTTGAAGAAAACTGTTTTGCTAGGGCAAGCAAAGAAGCGCACTGTAAACTCAAAGGAAAACCAAATAATGCAGACAGTCTCAACGATGAAGAAGGGATCATTGAAGACTGTAAGCCCTCCACCTTGCAGCTGAAGGGTCTCATTGACATTCTCCAAGTTCTGGGTCAAAATGAGCTCTTTTTCATCTCTAAACTCTGGCAGAGTTTCTAAGCAGAAAATGACAATGGAGATTAAGATGACCAACACAGAGACTATGGCAATAATTCGGGCTGGGCTGGAGCTCTCTGGGTACTCAAAGAGCAGCCACACTTGTTTTTTGAATTCGTTTTCAGGCAAGACCCTGTCATCTTCTTCCTTGACAAAGCCTTCATCCTCTCTAAATTTGAGCATAGCCTCTTCCCCAAGTTCATAGAATTTCACTTCCTCACTGAAAATGTCAAACGGCACATTGACCGGCCTTTTCAGGCGTCCCCCTGACTGATAGTAATATAAAATGGCATCAAAGCTGGGTCTGTTCCTGTCAAAGAAATACTCATTCCGGAGGGGGTCAAAGTACCTGCCCCGTTTTGTTGGGTCTCCTAGCAAGGTTTCTGGGAATTGAGCCAATGTCTTCATTTGGGTTTCAAACCGTAGGCCAGATACATTGATCACAATCCTTTCACAGCACTCATACTCACTGTAACGGACTGAGCTGTAACCTCCAGGCCCCACACCATCTTCTGGAGGCTGCTCTGTAAATGAAAGCTCATCTTCTCCATCCTCATTGTTGTAACAGAACATTCTTTCCTCGCCTTCTTCATCCTGTCCATCCATTTCCTCATCTTCTTCCTCATCATCATCCTCACTCAAATCTTTGAGGATTTTCTCCTCTGAGCCACTGAGTAGGAGCAACTCAGAGCAAGGAAAAGAGGCACCAAACTCGCGACCGCCAAGACAATGGGTTGCTTTCCTCCTTTCCTTCCTTCTACTGCCTTGATAAAAGCCACTGTGTGATGCATGCCCACTGTGAGATGATGAAGAAGCCCCACGATTCTGTTCTTGATGGTAATGATGATGTGGACCACCTCCTCCGACAGAAGCCCCCGTTTCTACAGCTGCTGTTGCAGCTGCCACAGCTGCCGCTGCTGCTGCCCTAGACTGTACTAATCTCTCTCTCTCTCTGGCCCTTGCTTGGGCTGCATATCCATAGGGCATGTGGTTGTTGCAGCCAGAGCTCTCGGCACTTACCATGGCTACCTCCATTTTGTATGTATTAGTTTAGAAGACCCAGGAAGGAAAATAAATGTTCGTCTCAATAGTCATCACTTGGTGTTCTACATGAAAACAGCAAAAGCACTGGGGTCTGGAAAACAATTTCTTGGAAACATAGGCCTGTCATGTTCTCGTATTTGCATATTTGCATATTGCTCAAATACAAGATTTCCATTTTCTGTTTATTGCCCAGAAGGCTTGACACAGCTTCGGGAAAGGTGTTTGTCCAATTATAGCAAATAGTCCTTGGATGTAGAAAGGAAATATTTCTGGACCATGTCCTTTTCCATTAGAAATCCTCCTGCTTAAAGGATCCTTCAGTGGTTTAGGAAAAATCCACAGAGATAAGTTCATGATTTTTTGTTTTTGAATCAAGAAAGCAATGCACCTAAGTGAAGTACAAATGGCAACTGTTCAAAAAGAAAAAAAAGGGAATCAGAGCTTGAGTTCCTCAGAACATCCAAGTACAAAGTAGCAGGTATTTTCACTACTACCTAGTGATGGGATTGTGCATTATTACATTATATAAAAAGTTGAAGGAACTTCTCATGTTCACTTTGTATACACAGTGAGGCGGTCTCAGTACACCCACTTTCCAGTCTATCAACAAAGTTTTAAGCTCAGGAAAATATTACCCAGGCAGTAATGGTACCAATTGTGGCAAGAGAAGGAGGATGAGAAGGCTGAAAATCCAATTCTATGTTCCCCATCTGAGGAAAGGGGTAAATCGCCCTTCAGTTGTCCTCATGCAGAAGCATTTAACCTGAAGTACACACATTAAAAAGGGGGAGGGGAAGAGAAACAGATGGGTCATAATCCAGAAATACAAATGATGCTGTCTTATATCAAAAGATCCAGATTTACCTACTTGCAGTAGTCATTATTCTCCATTTCTGTACACCCATTCACACTGCACACTCAATATTTCAGTGTACATCTATCTATATATAAAGTTACCCCTCCCCCACAAATATGCAGGCATATACACACCCACATCTCATTCTTTTATGTCAAGGACTGAGTTTTGAGTGCACATCTACATTACAATGTGCAGGTAACTCTGCATTACATAATATATGTAGGCTTAAGCTTGTTTATAACACAGGTATAAATGCAGAATAGGTACAGTATAAGTATAAACATATCTAGATGCACTACTCGTTCTTGTGCCAACGTGCACAGTTTACACAGATTGCTTTATTTGCTTTGTGGAGAGATTTGACACTCATGACATTTGACATCAAACATGTTGAATAAGAGTCCTGTTATACGTCTATATGGCTATGTCTATATATATATAATTTAGAATTATGACTATTTACATGTAGGCAGAAAAACAGAACCAGGCAATTGCCATAGCTATAACCAAATAGATATATAATGTGGATAATAATCATATGCATCAATGCTACCCACAAACTGTTAACAATACGTTCATATCAAACGTTCACCGAAAAATACCTAGCCATGGATGCCAGTTGCAGCTTACATATTTGGAGCATAAACAATAAACCCGATTTTCTAAAATACTTTTAAAATCCGTTCTTCCCCCGCCCCTTCCCCCCAGATTCTTCTCTACCGCTGAAAATGAACGAACGCAACCTTGATTGAAAAGGCAAAATAAAGAGAAGTCTTCGACAAGAAGAGAGAGCGTGTTGCGCACAGAAACAGCCACACATTCAGACGCTTCGCCTTTCAAGCGTGCTCCGGAGAGACAACCTTCTTTGAAAAAAGCCATAGCGCAGAGCGAAATCGACCCCTCGGCATCACGCAAGGAAGTTGGGGGGGGGGGGAGAGAGAAAGAGAGAGAGAGAGAAACATTCTTGCCTACTTACCCTGCAGGGCAACGACCAAGAGGAGCTCGCGGATTGCCAAGGGCGAGGTGGTGGTGGGGGGGGTCCCCGAACAACCTGTTTTCACAGGTGTAGTTCTCAGGGAGGGGAGGATAGTACAGGCGGCGAAACGGTTGTTTCTCTTCGCGTCTTTCCAGGGCGCCGCGAGAAATGCTTCTTCCCGCCCGGCAAAATCCGGCCGTCGTTTAACAGAACCGAGGACAGGGATTCAGCGACCACTTGATTCGGCTTCGATCTTGTCAAAAATTAGCCATCGGCGAAAGGAGAGAGACAGAGAAAGAGAGAGAAAGAGAGAGAGAGAGACCCCGGCTTCCAGCAGGAAATAGATGTAAAAGGAGGGCAGCGACAGGAGAGGGTGACAATGTGGCGCTCGCTACCAGGTCGTGGATGCGCAGAGCGCCGGTCGCTGCTCTTTCGAAGCCCCGCGGTCGCGCCGAGCCATGGTTGTGAATCGCCCCTTCAGAATAATCCCTCGCACCGAGGCCGGGAAGGCTCTTGCTATTGACAAAGAACCGGCGCTGCGCTGCTCAGTGGGAAGCTCCCTCCCCACCCGGAGCTCAAGGCGCGCTGAGCCGCTGCAGCCCCAGCGACTGGGGCAATTTTGCCGTCCGAAGTCATTCCCTGGAGTAAGCGGCGTCCACTTGTTGCTCTCGGTTTGGACTTTTTACTATTATTTATTTATTTATTTATTTATTCTTAATCCAATCACCTCCGGTTTCTTATCGGCCGCCCTCCGGGAAAAGGAAACTCTAACATAGTCTATCAGGGTTTGTCTTCAATGAGTTCCCCATTCTGAGGGGGGCGCTAAGTTGTGCGGCGCGCGTTCTCCCCTCCCTCAGCCTTTCGCATCGCAGAATCCTCGATTATGTTTACCTATCCGACTGAAGGACAAACGGCTGAGCCGGGTCTGATTTATTCCCTGGGTTTCTTAGCTCTCTAGGGGCCTCTAGCGGCAAACAATCTCATTGGTATTCACAACTCATTAATCCTTCTCTTGCTTTGGCACATACCCTACCACCACCACGCATAAACACACAAATACCCTTGGTTCCAATCTTCTTCTCCCCTTCTATAAGTTCTTGAAGGAAACCTACAATAATTATAGCTATTATTATAATTATTCCTGAATCGTGCACCTACTCCTGTTCCGGATTTTTAAAAATTGCCGACACAATTGTGATCACTAGGTGGCAACAAAGAAATGCCCCAAAACCTTGTAATGATTTTCTACCTTCTGGTGGTTATCTAGGCCTTTGCAGCTCAAGTTTGGACACCGTGACAAATATTGTTCCTGAAGGTTTATGGAGGGAAAGGGAAAGGGGAATCTAATCAAAGCCATGCAACCTCTATATACAGAACATCAGAACACACATCACCCAACATGTCTAGGTAAGGGTGGAAAAATACAGCATATATTCCTGAAGAGCTGATACCTGTCAATATCAACAATATTAAACTATGTGAGTTTGTATACCACGCTGTGAGACAGTGTGTTGTGGCTCTGTGAGTCTGGAATAATGATTCTTCTAATTCCAAGATTGAGTAATAATATCATAGCTCTGAAGACTACACAGGGACTATGGAAGAAAATAAAACCCAGTAAGGCTGTTTTTTTTTCTTGGATGATGTGTGATAGGAATATTTAATTTTTTTTCCTCCTCTTAATTGATCTAAACTACTTATGTGTAGACAGGGTGATTTATGGAGCAAACTACTAACAATAAAATAGAATAAAACAAACAAGCAACCATTAAAAAGTCTTATCTAACATGGCAATTAGGAATGTAAAGATGTCATTTAGAAGCTCGGGAGAAACAAATGGTTTCACTTGGCAAAGAAGGTAAGCAATTCAACATAAGATCCATGGCTTCAAATACCAGATATGGGCTGTAAAGAACAGCACCATCTTCAGCAGTTGTCCAGAAGAGGGTTTTGTTGGCCAAAGGCAGAGTAATCCCTCTCACAACTCTCAATGGAATGTATGAATGTGGTGTGCATGGTTGGGGAGGGCAAGTTATAGTGTGGCCCATCCTCACATGGGTACTGCTGAGCTATCTTCTCTTTCTCTATGTCTATGCACAGGAGAAGGATGGGGAGTAACAGCTGTAGCACTTCTTGGAAGAAAAAATAGACTTTCAAACAATTTAAAGCAATATATGTTTATATGCTAAAATATGCAGTAGAAATAACCATATAGTTTGAATTTTAGCCCAGCAAGATAGAAAAAGGATGGAAAGAATAGAGGGAGTAGATAGATAGATAGACAGACAGATAGATAGATACTTAGAATGTGCCATCAAGTTGTTGTTGACTCTTAGTTGACCACATACTACATATAGATTTTCTCTATGATAATCTTTCTTCAACCTGGCCTTTCATGTGTTCCAATTCATCACTTTAATTGAGTACAGAGAGCTAAGTAATGTGTCCAAAGTAGGAGAATTTAAACCAAGTCATTTGTGCTTTGGGTGAGAAAACTGGATTAATTTCTTTTCATCCATTTGTTTTCTTGGCTGTCCATAGTATACTCAGGAGTCTTTTATAACAACTAAGTTCAAAAGTGTCAATACTTTTTCTAACCTAGATAGATGCGTAATAGCACAAAGATAAATTTCTTTTAATGAGAATCTTCATTCTTTGATGGATTGCAGCCAAGGGTACGTTATCCTATTCTATATGTCTGCTGCCTGAAGGAGAATTTGCTATAATCCTATGAAGTAATTATGGTACTTCATTTATCAACATCATAATATCACCTATTTATCATTTATCAACATCATAATATCACCTATTCCAAGAAACAGGTGGTAAAACAATTTCTGTACCTAACTCATAATTAGAAAATTAACCCATTAATTATTGGATTCCAACCAACCAACCAAATCTAAGCCCCCCCCCCAAAAAAAACCAGAATACCTTACCATGTTTAGCATACCTTAAAAAAGGAAATTGTGACATGTTCCAATGGAAGGTAGTCGATAAGAACCAAAAAAATGGCATACAATTATTACGAGACCTCTCTGATTATTTTAGTTTTCATTAGCTACAAATTATACTGCAAACAAGCAATGAAGGGTGGGGAGGGAAGACTGGAAGCTTCACTTCTCGGAACAGCCTTGGTTCTGACAAATCCAAATGGAAGAGTGCCTAAAAATCTCAGCCATCATTAGTCATCCTGGGCATGATCCAGCTATGCTTAGCTTTTAATGTCCACTGTCTTCAATGGAAGAACGCATTTGATTAAATGTGCTAAAATGTGTACTTAAATGTCTCTAGCTAAAATCAACGACATTTTAAAGTATCCCAATTTAGCTTGATTATGACTTAAATTTGATTTTATCATCATTGTTTTTCTATTGCTGCTGAAGAAAATGATTGTGGGGCCACTTAGGGAGAAAGCCTCCAAATAGCAGCTGTAAGGAACTCATGTACCCCCAAAGATTTGTTCCTTTACAGATGCTGAGATTGTAGATGCTTTAGTGCTCTAGACTCCAAATCTCACCATCCTAGGTACTCTGACCAAAGTCAGTGATAATGGAAATTTGAAGCTCTAGAGGCAATAGATTTCCTGTTCATGCTCTAAGATATACCTGCTCAGTTCTGTTTATTTGTTCAAGGATTGTCATTTACTTCAAAAATATTTTTATAAAATGAAAGTTTGATGTAATTTAATAGCCTGAATACATGCCTATAACACTAGTGGAGTAGTAAGCTCCATAAAGTATAACCCAACATAGTTCTGAGTAGACCTATGTACATTTGTAGGCTCAGTTTTATTAATTTAACTGGATTTTGAAAAAATGCTGCATCTTCCTTTTATAATGTCCATCAAACAGATTGGCATACAGGTGTACAAATAGCAAACTGATTAGCAAAAAGAACATGGCATAATTAATCATTCAGCTTCAATCAAATATACTTGTAGCTGCAAATGATCTAGCTAAGCCAGTCAGGAATATGTAATGATGTTTTTATTGTTTTGTTATTAGTTATCTTTATTTTTTAGCTGATTTATTGACTGCTTAATGTTTATTAGATTGAAGAAGCATAGAAGTCACAGTAAAAAAAAGCATATATGCCTTTCAATCAGATAATTTCAATAATTCTAATATTGGGAAGGAAGGAAGGAAGGAAGGAAGGAAGGAAGGAAGGAAGGAAGGAAGGAAGGAAGGAAGGAAGGAAGGAAGGAAGGAAGGAGGGTCGAGCCCTCCTCCACAATTGTATTGTTGATAAGACAAATATGTCCTATCTGCTGTTTTTTCACTGCAGAAGCAGTGTGACAGTCAATGATAAAACAACTAAGTTATTTCCTCAGCCATTTTCCTTTTCATCCTGTAATTCTTCTTGTAGCTTTGCAGCACTTGTAGATAACCTGTAGCCTTTTAAGTTCTCCAGGACAGTCCACATGGATGCCCTGGCCCTTGGTCAATTCTCCTTCAGTGGGCCTGATCCACAATTTTCTTCCAGAAAATTGGAATTTGGAGTGACGCCCATCATATTGCTATTCCTATGTAAACAGCACAGCATTCTTCTCAAAACTGGCCAACCAGTTAGGGGAATATGGCTGTGATTGGAAGGATACTCCATCTTCTTTCCCATGCAAATTGAGTGGAATGAGATTTAGGGAGGAGAATAGGAAACAAAAGGCATGACTCCTATGCATCACATCTCCTTAGATGAATATGATCTATATGACTATGTGGGGAGTCTGGGAGATATGGGAAAGAAGGAGATAGTGTGTCTCTTTTTGTTGGGTGACTGTGAGTAAATGGGAAAAATGCGTGCAATGGAGTGAGGAAAAGTAATGGTGTGTGGAAATGACCATGAGAGACAAGGGGCAGAGGCACAGCCAAGGGAACAGTAGACCTAGTCCATCCAGATATGCTTTCTCTCTGGACTACCTCACAAGGCTGATAGAAAATACATAAAATGAGGAATGCTTGTCCAGAACATTTTTTCAGCTGATTTTAATCTGTAACCTGAATCTTATCCTGACTGTGCACCAAAAAGTCAATCCTTACATATGTTTAATGTCAAGGATCAGAAAATTTCCCCCGTTTTCCCAATCGTTTCATGGGTCCCAACTGATCCTCTTAACTAGAAACGGTTAGCACAGCTGTGACTGTTCAACCCCAGAAAAGGAGGGTCCTGGAGACAAAAAGTCTTCTCTGGGGGCATTGACCACCTATCTCTGCCAGGCCTAGGTATGGCATAAGCTTTGCGAATCCCAATGTACAAGGTTTTGCACAGTCATAACTCTGTACCAGATAACTGCATCGGTTTAGAATGTTATGATGGACAAATAATGCTGTTGAAAATGAGCCACTCTGTGATTAGGAGGGCCTCCCTTGAATACGGCAGATGTCTTGGGTATAATGGAGAAGCAAAGGTATCTAAAACTGAGACCTCAGACCATCTGACTTCTCAATAGTATCTTACAAAAACTGTGTTAGCAATGTAATTAATTGCTTTAAAGCTGGGCAGGAAAGCATATGCATATTCATTTAATAATTGGTTTCTTCACACTTTGTTCTTAAATCCTATATGTTTTTTTTTTTTCAGTTGCTTGCTCTTGTTAAGATATCCTTGTCTTGTAGATGCAAACATTTAGTTAATTGCTACCAGGTGCTTTGTTAGAGGAGTGCACTAAACTGACCAAGGCACCAGAAGGCAGGACAATGGATGGAAGTTAATCAAGGACAGTACCAACCTAAAACAAAGGAAAAATTTCTTGACAGCGAGAACAATTAGTCAGTAGGAAGGCTTGCCTTCAGAAGTTGTAGGTACTCCATCACTGGAGGTTTTAAAGAAAAGATTGGACAGCCATTTGTCCAAATGGTGTAGCATCTACTGCTTGTGCAGGGGGTTGGACTAGAAGATATCCAAGGTCCCTTCCAACTCTGTTATTCTGATCCATGTGTTAACTGAGTTAGCAGCAGGTGTGATCAAAACCCATTCCCACAATCAAGAATGCAGTCACATTGGAGTC